AATTGTATTTTACAATGTTTATAAAAATGTAAACATTAAAAGCTTTACAACGTAATCGGGCAACGTTTCTTATACGTTTCTGCGAAATCGGGCCGCAAAAAGCGGATATTTCGACGTTTGTGCTACTAACAATGCTATGTGGATTATTCTGCAACTGCAAAACTGTACTCTTCTGTCAGTATATCGTACTGACGGTCCTAAAATTAATTTTCGCGAAAAAATAGAACCATATTATCGAGGAAAAAAAAAATAAACAAGAAGATAATATAAGATTATTTAGAAGTGTTGCACAAATGTGAATGACTTCAAAATTATTCCAAAGAAAGTGTGTAATTGCAGACAACAGACAGTAAGACTGTTTTTATTGTCAAGTAACATACTCATCAATGCTTTAAAATCAACAACAGAATTGTTTGTTGATGGAACGTTTTGTATAAGCATTGTAAAACACTTGTTTGCTGAGTACTTTTACGAGAGTGTGCGCATTCAACCCGTACCCGCGGCGGGATCGCATCTCTCGCCAGGATTATGCATGCGCGTGTTGCACATGTAGGTATTTTAGCCGCAACGAGGTTACCTGTAATTTCGAATTACGGCAATTGATGTATCGCGGGATGTATCGCGAAGATCGCGGATAAATGGGTTTCGAAAAAAAAAAAAAAAAGAGAGAAGAAATCATCTCTGTGTAAATTTATTGTGTGTACTTAGGGTAAAAATGTTCATGCGTGTGAACGTATCAAGTGTACCACGAGTTGTACGTAAACAAACCAAAAAGTATGAAATTACACGCGTTCGAATTTCATACAAATTGCTCGAATACGATAACCAAATAAGTACTTTCATATGTAAAATGTTAAATACGAGATTACTAACAATACGATTAACTAACTCTGTAATGCAGGAAAGTCCAACTAAACTCGAGACTGACAAATGTTCGGGAATAACAAATAATCTCTACAAATAATGTAAATAGTGTAAACAAATGTATAATAGACATGTAACAAATTTTTGTACAAATTATGTACAAAATAGTTTTAATATTCTAGAGAAAGTTTATCTCGCGTAGTGTTATTCTCTCGAAATAACATTCTTCGATAATTACATGATCAAGAATAAGGTGCGCGCGTTTAAAGGTACAAATGTAATTTCTCATAATTTCATAATGCGCCGCACCTGTCCGCAACGTGTTATTACCGGAGAGTCAACGTAGTTTCGCATTATCTTACTCGTGAGTTTCCACGAGACCACTGCCTAAATTGCAATTTACCAGAAAACACATCGACCGCCGTAGCCACCGCGTGGATAGTCCAACACAAACGTTACCAGAGAAACGTTCTCATCACGAAGCTAGTCGTTTCTCTTGGTTCGCGAGCGACCAGAGAAACTTCCTTCCTTGAACTTTCTGCATTATGAAAGATTGAGATAGAAAGAGAAAAAAGTTTGTCTTTACGCTAGCAAATTGGCTAATTAAAAAAACATTCTTTTTTGTATAAACATTTTTCATACAAAATATGTAATATCCCTATTCTTTTAAAAAATATGTAATACCCCAATTTTATTCGGTAGCGTAGTTCGCATTTTATAATTTGATTTATGAGGGTGTTAGACCCGGCATTTCTTTTTGAAATAAAGTGCACTAATCAAATCTCAAACACTCAATCTCTGGTAGCTGACCTTAAACAGTTAATTATCAGAATTGATGGATTTGGCCCAACCACAGAGGAAGCTCTATTTTAGGAAGCCTCAGCGTGACCCAAATGCTTTCCTGCCTGCTAGAGCGCAACCCGCACAGCAACAACAAAACAAATCACAACTTGCAATACCACCCGTGCAGCCACAATGCTGCAAAACAACCGTTGCCATGATGCAGCCACAGACTAACCCACAGAAGTCTGATCCTAAGCAAAGGAAGCAATTCCCCAAGACAATCAACAAACCTACCAAGTTAGCTGCAGCCTTGGATAGCAGTGCGCAACCTTCGAACGAGGACCCGACTAAGAACTCGGTGTTCGTATCGAGCATGTCAGTAAGAGAGATAAACAATGATACTCGCTTTGCGGTATCAACTCTCGCATTGATTGAGGTGTCACGCGCATGTTATATTCTTATTATTATTTCCCTTATTCTTTAGATCTAATTTTTAAACCATCACCAGAAAACTGAGAAAAAAATTATTTGTTTTTAAAATTAATAACTATAATGGCAAAATACAACATCCCACATAGCATCGTAAGTAACGCAAACGTTTCTGCAACGAGTTTTCCGAAACTTAGTAACGTTTCGTGAAACGTTTCTAAAACGTCGTAGTAACTTAGCGGAAACGTCGAAATGTCCGCTTTTTAAGTTTCGGCCCGATTTTGTTGAAATGTGTGAGAAACGTTGCCCGATAAGTTGCAAAGTTTTTAATGTTTATATTTTTATAAACATTGTAAAATACATTTTTGAAATCATGTAGGTTTGCCGTAACCATTCTTCAGGAAGAAGTGATTACTTAAGTACTCACTTGGGCAACGTTTCTCATACTGTTGCAGAAACGTTTGCGCTACTTACGATGCTATGTGGGATTGTAGCGATGCAACGAGCGGCATCGTTACTGCCGAACATCTGTCTCTTTAGTCCGATGCGCGGAACGCGTGCAGACGGCAGTCTTCCAGACTGCGGATCCGCTGGATGTGGACGGAAGAGACCCGGGAGTTTCTTTTGGAGTGTCGGGGTGCGGGGGGTAACCTGGTGAAGATCCCACCAGAAGCACGGGCGCAGGTCATACATACGCTACGCCTGGCTATCGCATCGTATTACACGAGCACGTTGCTCGTCAAAAAGTATCAGGAGAAGGTGTTCGAGGTGGCCATGCGTCATGGAATAAGCAATCACTTCATGCGCACTGGCAGCTTCACCCGCTTCGCCGACTGACGCTTCCTGCACCGAGCCCGACTCGACGTGTTGCCCCGCTCAACGGCGTACGTGGGGGAAGTGCCGAGACCTTTCCCCATGTGATCAATCATTGCGGGGTCCACTCCGATGCGATACAGCTCAGGCACGATGACCTGTTGCTGCGTTTAGCTAAGGCTTCCCGTCTGCCAGGTGATGTCCGAATTAATCAGCGGGTCGATGACGAATTCGCGAGTCTTCGGCCCGACCTAGTGATTCGTCACGAACAGTCGAGGTCGATCATCATCATTGACGTCACGGTGCCCTTCGAGAACCGTCGTGAGGCGTTCGATGCAGAGATGCCAGATTCTGAACACTTGGTAGCATGCGGTAGCATGAAGGGGATGCGCACACAACCTCAGATCCAGTGCCGGACTAAAGCATAGGCAAACTAGGCGCACTGCCTATGGGCCCCCACCAACAAAAAGGCCCCCACCAACAATAGAAAACTTAAAAAAAAAAAAAAAAAAATTTGTAAATAAATTCTAAAATAATCGATTTTGAATATTTTACTATTAGTTGTTTTATTTATCAATTAATAGTCTAACAATAAGATACCATGGATTATTTGTATTATAAAACTAATTTTGCGATTGTAACCCTGATTTAAAAAGCGTGTTAATAGCGGGAATATTGTAGAATATTCGGCTATTTTATCGACTTTAGATAATATATCCACGTCGTTTGCTTTCCACCTGAAAAGAATGGCGTCAAACGATTCCTGTAATATGTTTGCTTCTTTAATTTAAGTCGTATATGTATTGATTAAAATTGTTTAACTCTTCTGAAAATAAATTCAAACAAAAATTAGATACATGTCCTTTATAATTATCCTATTTAGAATATATACTTATTTTTTTATATCAATTAGTGTTTTTTTTTTTTTTTTTTTTTTTACTAAACAATTTTCAAAATATCATGTCCTTACATAGGCCCCCACCAACATTTGCCTAGGCCAGGACATTCGGTTAGTCCGGCCCTGCTCAGATCGTGTACGTGTGCGCTCGAGACTTCGGGCGCGATCGGGCAATAGAAAGAAACAGAGAAATGACTTTCTGTCTCGCTCTCGCTCGGGCGAGTTGGCGATACGACGTTCAACTCTCAATAACGTCGTAAGCGGCATAAGAAATGTCCAAATTCTCCGGCTTGTTCTCTGACTTTTCTTTATTATAATTAAAAGTTGTATTTATATGTATGTATACATAAAATTTATATGTACGAAAAACTGCGTACAATTAAAATAATAACTTTACCACTTCTAGCCAATATGTACGTTTATTTATTATTTTATTTGTACGCAGTTTTTTGTACATATAAATTTTATGTATACATGTATATAACTTCAATTTTTAATTATAATAAAGAAAAGTCAGAGAACGAACCGGAGAATTCGGACATTTCTTATGCCGCTTACGACGTTATTGAGAGTTGAACGTCGTATCGCCAACTCGCCCGAGCGAGAGCGAGACAGAAAGTCATTTCTCTGTCTCGTTCTACTGCCCGATCGCGACCGAAGTCTCGAGCGCACACGTACACGATCTGAGGTTGTGTGCGCATCCCCTCCATGCTACCGCATGCTACCAAGTGTTCAGAATCTGGCATCTCTGGTTCGATGAGGCAAGAGAAAAGTCAACAAGTACACTCCTCTTGCTGAGTCCCTCACGCGAGAAGAGTACCGTGTGGTTGTCATGCCTTTCGTAGTCGGCTCCCTCGGCTCATGGGACCGGAGGAATGAGGCTGTGCTGAAGCTGCTGTTTCCAACACGTACGCAGCGATGATGCGCCGTCTCATGGTCTCCGATACCTAACCATACGCTGGTCGCGGGATATCTACGTGGAGCACGTCTCCGGGGTGTGGCAGTACGCGGCGGCTGCTCGGTCACCCGGCGGAACGCTCCGAGACAACACGCGAGCGATTCGCCGACGTTACAGGAAACGGGAGATGGCGATCCTGGCGCACCGCGGGCGCCAGGCGTAGGGTATGCGTCCATGAATATAAGGATAGAATCTATAGAAAGCACTCACGCATCTTCAAGTATGTCCGCTATCCAAAATGGCGGGGATGGAAGACTAGAATATAGTCTTATTGTTAAATATTTTCGACAAATCATAGTTATTAATTGTAGACGAATTATTCATAATTGTTCTTGATTTGTGCATGTGTATTTTGATAGTAGTATTAGGAGTACTTGTATTCTCTTTCGAATTATCTTCTTTTGGTTTTAAAATACTGTTGCGCGAGGGACACCTTGTGTGTGTTACGGGAGCCGTGTGAACGGCGTGCGCTCGGCGCGACTGTTTTGTTGCCGGGCGACCGAAAAGGTTGTTAGAGTTGAACCGCGGCCGTGTTGCTGTCACGTTGCGTTTTGCGCGTACAATTTTGTATTTTATTATTGTTAAAGGCTGTAATAAAGTGCTTTTATTAAGAAGTCTCGTCTCTCTCATTCTCGCGGACGTGTGCGCGAATCGCGGAAAGCGGTGACGGAGCGGAACTGCCATCGCGAGCGCAACAATACTTTTCCATTTGATTTCTGGCACCACAGCAGATGTAGAAGCAAGAGTAGTATTGAATTCAATTGACGGAGTCTCAATTGCAGAAGCAGTTACATCCGCAGAAATAGGAGCACAAAATATTGAAGGCACAGCAAGATTATTCAACCGGACACCACTTGCATTGGGTCTTTTCATAAAATCATTTTCTTGAAAATGTAAACTGCATATTAAGCTGTATTTTGTAGGTTTAAAATCGTCTCTTCCAATTGCTGCAATCCACAGTTGTAAAATATCCGGGCGATTTAATGGAAATCTACAATATTTATATTGTTTACTTACATAACCTTAAAATATTGTAACTTCGAAGTATAAATAAATATCTCCTCCTTACCGAAATAAATGAAATTCATCTTTTGTGATATTTTTACACTGTGGAACGCAACAACAGCTCGGCATGTTTACACAGTGATGTTTACGATGTTACTTTTTTACTTTAACAAGGCCCGAGTAGCACATTCGCGTACTGATCATATACGCACCGCCGCCATTTTGTTGTAAGTTGTCATGACCGAAACCGGATATCCTGCTAGCCTCAGTTTTTTCATATTCCACAGTCTCAAGTTAGCGATCTAGTAGTAGTATAGACATCTGTGGGTAAGAGAGACGGTATTCTCCCTAGGAGTAAGTACTGCCAACGGGCGCCGCACTAACTAACTGTAGCAGATTTCGATGAATTGACCAATTACAGTATTTACTGCTAGGGAATACCGTCCCTCTTACCCCTAGCTCCCCGCGTCCACGAAACGATTCATTGACGCCGACTGTACATGTTAAGAAACATACGTATATGTTATACATACAATTGCACGGAATAGTAAGTGTATCATCATTGTATATATTGTTGCGAGATGCGGCGCGTGTCGTCCACGAGGTAGAAGATGTTCGTCGAACGATTGATCGATATCGAGGCTTTTGTCGCGACGCGTTTCGGCGATTTGTACAACGAGCTGTTCTTTCCTTGGATTTTATTGTAATAAAGTGTGTTTGTTGAAAAGCCGCGTACCCTCTCATTTCCGCGAACGGTTACGTGAATCGCGTGGCTCGGTTGCGGAGCCAGATCGTGCGCCGCGAACGTAACAATATATTTAAAATAATATGAAATGTTTTCAGCGCAATAAAGAATTGTACATGTTCAGCATAACAGAACATAACCTGTCTATTTCATTATAGACAAGCTAATATCAGTGTAAGTCGCAAAAAACATGGAAATTTTTTACAAATGTATTGTTGTTTTACTTTCTCTTTAATAAGATTCTTGCAGCAATATGTTCCTATACAGCAGACACACGAAACGATTAATTGACGCCGACTGTACTTATATTCAGTAAATTATATATCATATAATTCATATTAATATTATATTGTAATATATATTATGTAATATTGGATGATATTGCCTCTCTTACATTTACAAAAGTTTGTATTTGCAAATACTTTTTCCGGTGATTTGCTTTACTGCATCGAATCCTATTACCACAGTTCGGCCTGCGTATATTTCGATAAATGTTTTTGACAATTCGTAATATTGGAGCATCAGTATCAATGACATTTATACGTATCATGTTTGTGAAAAATAAAACAATCATATCATTATTAGAACAGATATATCAACAAAAAATGACAATTTTATTAATGTTTAACGTAAACGTACAAGCTCTTCGCGAAAAGTTTGATTATCATGCAGCTTTTGTTCTAACGCAACAAACTCCTTTATATTCTGCATAGGTGCGATTTCTAGTTTTCGTTTTCATTGCACCAACATTGTAGCTTGCTCATCTCTCTTAATGTAGTTAGAAGTCAGAATAGCCCGAGGGAGGGTCCCGGCAGAGTCCTTACCAGGGGTTCCGGGTCCTTCCCTCAGACGGACTGAGTAGGCACACCTTGGAGGTTTTAGTGGGTATACCTCTCTTATCTCGCGAGATGGGACAGGGACTTCCACATAACCCTGGCCATCTCTCCCGAGACCAGGGTAGGTTAGATTAGGTTTTTCTTCAAGTATTTTTTTCAATTCATTTTGTAATGTGCATTGTACGTATAACGTCTCGCGTAACTATAACGATTAATTAGAATTTTAAGAAATAATTTTGAAATATTGTTAAGAACCTATTCAAACAAACAACAATATTATTTTAAGAAATAGTTTAAGTAACAAATTATAGATATACCTAAAAAAAAAACATTATTATTCACATAGAACTAATAAAATAAACAAAAAAATAAAATTTTAAAAAATTATAAAAATATATAATCAACCCAATAACCACCCCTGCTAAACATGCTCTTAAAGTAATTAACTTCAATAAAATATTCAAATAAACATAAGTAAAATCAAAAAATGTTACTCATGAAATTAATGATCCAAAAATCACTCTCATTATAAGTAAAATAAATATTGACAAATTCATCCCCCACCTTCTAGTAAATATATATCAAGAAAAATAAAAATTAATTCTACCAAAATAAATATAATATACTAAACGAACAGTATAACTTACAGTAAAACACAAAGACATAATTCTTATAAATATAACTAATAAATTTAAACTTTTAAAATATAAAATCTCTATAATTAGATTCTTTGAATAAAACCCAGCTATAAAAGAAGCTCCACATAAAGAAATTCTAGAAATATAAAACCATATTATAATAAAAGGAATAAATTTTCATTTATTTTACCATAAAATCGAATATCTTGATTATTAGATATTAAATGAATTATTGATCCTACGCACAGAAATAATAATGATTTAAAAATAGCATGAACTTCTAAATGAAAAAACGACACATATTTATAACCTACACTCAGAATCATTATTATTAAACCTAATTGACTTAAAGTAGACAAAGCAATAATTTTTTTCAAATCAAATTCAAAATTAGCTATAAAGCCAGCTATAAACATAGTTAATAAAGAAATAATATATAATAAATCTGAAAATCAAGTTATTATTAATAACTCATTGAATCGAATCAATAGGTAAACTCCAGCAGTAACTAAAGTCGAAGAATGAACTAACGATGATACAGGCGTAGGAGCCGCCATTGCCTGAGGCAATCAATAAGAAAATGGAATTTGAGCCCTTTTAGTGATAGCAGCAACAAAAATTATTATTATAATTAATGAATTATTACTCAACATAAATATCCTCCACCCACCATAAGATATTATAATACCGATACACATTAATAAACCTACATCATTAACCCGATTTGATAAAACAGTAACTATCCCAGAATTATAAGAAGAATAATTATTATAATAAATCACTAAACAATAAGAAACCAACAGACTAGCGAGATAAGTCGATCCAAATCTGATCACGTATTATATACATTAAACAAAACCGAGCCGAGGAACTTGAATCCCGATCGACTCTCACGAAAGGAGTATAATAAACAATGAGCTCTTACGCACGTGCTCGCCATAGCTCTCGTCGCTTCAAGACCGCCATAAAATTCGAGAGGCGAAGACCACCGCACGTTAATATAAACAAGATAAAAAAGACAACATCGAAATCTAAACAATCGATGGCTCTACTACCCTAGAAAACGAACGCAGGCGGAGTTACTCGCCTCTGAGAGATCAACGAATGAGAGATCGATAATTCGGTAGAGATGAAGGAGAGAATAATTAAGGGACAAATCGATTGATAGAGATCAAGGAATCCTCACTCCCTGATCTCCGAACAAAAACCCCGCACCTTGGATCCGGAGCTCAGATCCAAAGCAGTTCTAAATCAAGATTCAAATCAAAAGTCAGTTACAGTCAGTCAGATATTACAATCAGTTATTAATATAGTCGCGCAGTTATAAGTTATAATTATTGTAACATTGTCACATTTATCCCAAGCCAACTATATCGGAAGCAGACGATAAAGTGAACTTTTGTCGTCTCTCAAGTAAACCACTTAACTCGAATTAACTTTATTTGTAAGTTTTTATGTGTACGTAGTTTATTTAATGTTTTGCTCGTTTACGTACTCTTTTATCCTCGAAAGATCTGCGTAAAAGATTTCTTTTACGTTTGTTTCTTTTTGAAGTAATGTCTCTCCTTTACGTTCAGCAGAAGCCATCATATTTAAGTCCCATTGTTTTTGATATCGTTTCTCCATCTCTTTAATATCTTGATAAAATCGTTAACCTTGTTATTACACACAAGATTGTCTGAATGCTTTTCCCTAGTTTCCAGGATTTTCTGATGATTAAACGCAATTTAAAGAAGATCGATCTGGGAAACCCCCTATTTTGACTTCAGATTTGGATTTAGCACCTCAAAACAAAACATGTTTCCCATTTCGAGTTCAGACCATTTTTTTTGTGAGCCTGTGTAATCTTTTACAAGAAAACTGTTTATAACAAATTATAAGTAAATAAATAATTTTTATGCAAATCATCGTGACGATTCTTACAGTATATGTATTATAGTGAATGTTTTATTTTATACTATACTTGTTTGTATTTTAGAACATTTCACATACGGCGTTTGTGAAACTATTTGTAACAAAAACGAGATTAGTAATTAAATGATTTTTGGAAACATATTTTGAGAAATGCGGTAACAATCATTTTGCATACGTATGTAACGATCACATGTTTCAAATATGTGAAGTAAAGAAAAATGACGGATAAAAAAGATTAATATCTTGTAATTTTGTCTCACATAAATGACAACGGGACATCCTGAATAATAAATTCACGATTGCATTTATTTTCAAATAAACAAAAAATTGACCAAAATATTCCAAATAGCGTATAAGCAACTCACATATAAACTTTTATATTGTTACGCGGCGGTCACCGCGTATCTGTCGCTCGGCGCGATTGTTCGTCGCCGGGCGACGGAGTGATTGTGTGGAGAGACGAATCGCGGACGCGAAGCTGTCACGACGCGTTACAGACGATCCTGTAATTTCTGTAATAATTTGTAGCTTAATAAAGTGGTGTTAAGAGAACTCACGTCTTCTCATTCCCGCAGTCGTGTGCGCGAATCGCGAAGATCGGTGACGGAACAGAACCGCTACCGCGAGTGTAACAATATGCTTCACGATATCTAAGAGTAAAAATATGTTTGCAATCAGTAAAAGTACTATATGTAAAATAAACTATATAGAATTTTACACAAATATAACTCTTAAAATTATGTTAAACAAAGTCGTAAATTGGACGGTCTACATACTCAAGATAATCAATTAATCAAGAGGCACGGTAGTGCCTCGCGCCAAGTTCACGCGCAACGAAGTTGCGTCGAACTGTGCGAGGCACACTGTGCCTCTTATACGCGAAAATCATGCATTTTAATGGAGGGGAGATTTTAAATCAGCTATTTTTCAATAACGACTGAACCGATCGACTTCTTTTTAGTCTCGTTCGATTCAAGCTAAAAAACTAAAAAAAAAAGTATACTTGCGTTTTTGTTGTTTTTTTCTGATTTTTCGAGATACACGACGATAAAGTTTCGAAGTGAAAAATTTACGATTAAGAAACGTAGTCATCATCGTGCGACCAAATTGTGTGCATGTTCACAGTTTTGCTACCAGATGGTGTT